ATAAAATTTGGTGTCTCTAGCTAGTATACAAAAGACAAAGAGGATCATACTTACTTGACCTAACAACAATTGACAAGGAAATGGACTCTATAATATTGAGTCCCTATTGTAAACTAAAAGCAACCACAACATATCTAAATTGCCCAAAGTATATATGAAAAAAACTATTCCAATTTGTTGAACGGAAGCTTCCTGATCCCCATTCCTACCTCCCACCGTTGGACCGAAGACTAATTTTTATCTAGCACTTTCAGCCCCATCACTTCTATACTATGGTCAAGTGAGGCCAACAATTTACTGAAAATTAAGACAAGGTCAATGATTTTGATACTCTAATTTATATCCAACCTCAGGAGTACTTAGATTATGATCTTATGTTCTCTACATTCAAACCATTGATTTAAAATGAATAGTTTGAATTTCATCGGAAGATTAAAAAAAAAAAATACCCCTTCACTATGATATACGAAAACATTTCACCTAACATACATACTAATTTACACAAGAACTTATTTTAACTCTCATTCCCTTTCTAATGAATCCAAACAAGTGAAGAGTACAATTAATTAATTCCCATTCTGGGAAATGATATAGTTATCAATATATATATATGAAAAAAAAAGAAAAAGAAATGTAATTGATCTTGTTTCTTGGACTGTAGATTAGAAAACGACACGTATATAACATGAGGGAAGAAAAAGGAAAAAAGAGAGAGAGGGGGGGGGGGTAGCCAAGGAACCTCAATTTTGACTGCCAATTCCGAATTTGGTCCCTAAACAAAATGTTTATCAATTAAGTTCCTGATATTCTTACATTTCTTAACTTGGTCCTTTCATCAACGTCTACTAATTATATCTTACTTTATTTAGGCTGTCAAATGTCATTTTGAAGAAAATTTGGTAAAACAATTAACGGACACGGACAAAAAGACCTATTCGAGAAATTTCTAAAACATCATTAAAAAAAAAAAGGATTTATTTTGTAACAAAATTTAGAATTGATTATTTTAAGGTTTATTAAAAAAAAAAAAAAAAAAAAAACCTATTGATCATTAAGTGAAAGCACACATTCTCACAAGTCCAATCAAATGCGTCCAAAATGAGAGACATGGATGCAAAATTAATTCTGTTAGATATTGTTTAGTAACAGATTCCTGAACTTACTTTACTTGATAAGTGTGAATTCTTTCAAATATAGATTACCACCTAAAGTTAGGCATTGTAGTGACCCAAAATTTACTTATTTTGTTTTATTATCTTTTATTCATTTATTTCTATTTTTTATTTCTATTTATTTATTTATTCTATTTCATTTTATTCATGTCAGAATTTATTACAAAGAAAAAGCCAAAAAAAGGGGAAAAATAATAAAAATACAAAAAAAAAAACAAGAAGAAGGGAAGTAGGTAGAAAATGCAAAAAAATTCATCTAGGGGGCACAATTGTATTTAAAGGAAGGTGAATTGAGGTAATTAAGGGTATAATCGAACAAATTGAGAAATTCAGAACCTAAATTACACCCTACAAGGACCCGATTGATAAAATTACTCTTTACAGAGACTGAAATTATACCACAGGAGGGCATGATTATTGGTAATTGAAATTTACAGGGACCAACTTGGAATGTCAGAGCGAATGATAGGACTGCAATGGAGAGGACAACTTGTCATCCACTCCCATTCTGATTTCTCTTCGAAAATCTTTGGGAGAAATCTGTCAAATCTTCCACCAAATTTCTTGTTTTGATTTTGCATTAATTATAGATTTTTGACCAATAGAAAATCAAGCAATGGCCAAATTTTCTGTTTTAATTTTGCAATAAAGAGGAAATATTTTGACAGAAAATTCAGGATTGAGATTTGATTCTAGGAGAAATTCTAGAAAGCTTTGGCTATAAAACAGGTTTGATTTCACAGGAAAAGAGGAGAAAAAAATTAGAGAAGGATTCTGGGTGGAGAGAGAGAGTGAAAATAAAGCAAAAGGCTTGATTTTTTTATTTTTAACAGCTATGTTTTTTTGGGTTTGGGTTCTTGGTGTTCTAGGTTTTCATTCATAGTCTGTTAGTCCTTTCAGTGCTTTGTTTTGTGTTGCTTGGGGCAAAATATCCCTCCTCACGGTTTTCTTCACTTCTTTGTCCAAATTTTGGGGTTCAATTCTTTCATTTTCTGTCCTTCACGTTTTTGGGTAGCCTGCTGCCGTTCTTATTTTCTGGGTTTTGTTCTTCACTGCCTGGGTTTGGTTTATCATTCCTTAGGTCGATTGAAGGGTGGTTAAATCTGTGTTGAGGGAAAATATCATATGTTTGGGTGTAGTGAACGAGGAATCAACAACAAGGATTCAAAATCATGAGAAATCAATAACTTTGGGTTCTGCGTTTTCAGGTTTTCTGGTTTGGTCTTCAATCGTTCTAGATCAGCTTGGGGTCTGATCTTCCTGCTTTGACCTTACTTGTTCGTTTTTTTTATTTGCATATTTGCTTTTTTGTTCATGATTTGAGTTGTTGGCTTGCCTAATTGAATTAATTGATTGAAAGTATTTTTTTAATCTCTTGGAAAACCCAAAGTATTAGGCAGAGAAGATGAAAAATGAAGAACAGGAGAGAGAGAGGATGAGTGGCTTAAAATCCATGTTTTGATTGAAATTTCAAGAGTTGTTTCTGTTGGGTTTGTTTCTAGGCTTTGGCCTAGTCTAAGAAAAAATGGAAGCGGGCTGGACCGACCATCTCACCTACACGTTAAAAATAAATAAATAAATAAAATAAAAGGATTGGACTAGGTTCAGTTTAGCCCGTACCCTTTACCCAAATGAAAAAGAAAACAAAACGCAAGAGAGGCCAAAAGTCCAGCCTCTCCAAAATAATAATAATAATAAAGAAAAAGGTAATAGGAAAAAAGAAAAAAATAATAAAAGAAGAAAAAGGAAAAGGTAGGAGAGAAATAAGTGGTGGGTTAAGGGATAAGGTCCATTCTTTTAATGCTTTGACTTTATTTATTTATCCATTTGTTTTATTTTTTTCTTTAGCCTCGATTATTTTATTTCTCGTCACATTTCTTATAATAATTTAGAGTTGATATTTTAATGTTTTTTTTCTCTCTTTTTTTTTTATGTTATTAGATTAAAAAAACGAAAAAAATTTAAAAAAAGTCTAAAATTTTTTTGCGAAATCTCCTACCTGGTAGGAACCGACATCACAAAAAATATTTCTAAAAGGTTTGACGAAGTCTCCTATCTATTAGTGGTCGACGTCACAAAAAAAATATATCTAAAATGTTCGATGAAGTCTCCTATTTGATAGGGATTGACATCACAAAAAATTATTTGTTTAATCGGAATGTCCTTCGACATATCGGTTGTGTTAAGGCTCAAAGTGGATCCGATATTTGGATCGACGTTTCTCCCGACGAAGGGGATCGACGATCGTTTCAATAAGATGTCATGTTCAAACTAAAAAAATTCAATTTTTCCTTAAAAAGAAAAGGAGTTTAAAAATTAGAAAATAATTTGACATAAATGAAACATTTTAGGAGATGAATTTAGAACGAAACTAGACATGGTACCCTTCTTCGGAAAGAGCACTTTTTGGTGATTAAATATTTTTCCAAAGAGGTAACCAACTCATTGCCATAGAATCTCCGAACCGAGTGCCTATTTTAGGTTCCTAGTTTATTCAATACAACTTGGCGACTCTAAAACTCGTAAATAGTTTTTGTAAATAATAATTAACACCTAGATTTAATTTTTAGAGAGTCTCATCCGCGTCGGGTAGCAACGAGTATTATAATCTCAAAATATACAAATAAGCTTAAAAGCTATCGTATAGATATTGTACTATATAATCTCCGAAAGTAGCAATACGTACAAACAAATGATATCTGCAGAGATTTCTCTCTATTATATGTGATAATCAAGCATGGTATTAGAACTATTTATGACTTCGCACATTACTTCCCAAACAACTATTTCTATTGTTCCAATCATGCCTATCACTCAATCCAACTTTTCTTCTCATCCAAGCTTTTCTTTACAATCAAACCAACTCCAAAAAATTATGTTGCTTGGAAAACTCAATTCGAGCCACTTCTAAACTGTCACAAATTGAAAGGTTATACTGATGGTTCTTTCATGCACCCCCTCCACTCATTCTTAATTCCAGTACTTCAGATTTTGAGTCCAATCCTACTTATGAAGAATGGTTTAACAAAGATCAAACCTTGTTGTCATGGATTCTTTTCTCTATTTCAAAAGAGGTTTTCACTCATATGGTAGGTTTAAAAACATTTCATGAAGCTTAGCAGGTCCTTGAAAAAGCCTTTATCTTTGCCTCTGAAAACAGATAACTTCAACTACATATTCAACTCCAAGAACTGACAATTGAAGACAAAACAGTTGCTCAATTCTTTCAAGAGATTAAATACATTTCAGATGAACTTGTACTTTTGGACACCCCCTTTCTCTTTTTAAATTTAATGCTATTGTTTACTGGAATTTAGGTTTTGAATGTCACAACATAATTAATATTTTATCAGTACAAGGTAAACAGGTTTCATTTTATGATTTGCATGGACAACTGCTAGCTCTTGAAATTCTTATTAATCATTCTAATCTCAAGAATCCTACTGCTAATATGATGCAAAAAGTTAATTTTTCTGGCTCGTCTATATAACAATCTTATTCAGGTAGTAATTATTCTCTTGTTAATAATTATGGAAATATTTATTCTGGTAATAATTACTCTACAGGTTACCAAGGGGGAAAAAGCAACAACTAATCAAGGAACCCTAGGTTTAATAAGAAACGGAGGCCATGTCAGATTTGTGGCTGAACAATCATTCAGCAGCCATCTAAGGTATGAACTAACAACAGTCCTTCATATCACACAGCACTATTGTTGCTTAATCCTCGTACTCCTCACTACTCTGACTTTCAATCTCAACCAAGTGGCAATCCTTCACTTTATTCTCCTTCTACCTAACATCCGGATATTGCTGCTACAAATCATATTTAAAAACCACCATATTTATCTTCAAGTGCTTCTGGAGTGTCCCAATGAAAGAGAGTTACATAGGGCTGTATACCTGCACATTACATTTCAAAGGGAAAATAAATAGATAATTAAAACTAAAATATCAAACTTTTGTTACTATATTTTATCTCAATTAATGTGCGTTATTAAAAGATTTAAGTGTCAAATTCATGTTTTCTAATCACCAAATATATGAAAGTTTGGAAAATGTAGACATTAAAAGTTAAGCAAAATATTACTTCATTTACTAAGTATTAAAAATTAATATAAATGATATTTTAAAATTTCATCCAACTATTCAAATGTTCACAAGTTTGAATTCTATCATTTCTATTTTTTCTTCTTATTTAAATGAAAAAATTGATAAAAATATTAATTTATTTTTTAAATATTAAAAAATAATATAAATTATATTATGAAATGTTATCCAACGGTTTAAATATTAAAATAGTAATAAGTTTGAATTTTACAATTTTTACTTTTTTTCTTATTTAAATTAAAAAGTTAAGCACAAGGTAGATCTTACCCATAAAATCACTATGGTTTTACAATTTTTATATTTAAAAGAACAATCAAAGAATTTAATTTGTCAAAAGAACAATATTATCAATTAAACTCGTCATTGAAGGAAAGGGAAAGATTATAACCATTTTTTATAAGCTCATCGATGAGATTGTTGTAAAATTGGATCCCTTCTTCGTTTGTTCCTGCACTTAGTCTACCATCTGAATTAAATAGTTGAAAAAACAAATATTAAGTAAGGAAGAAGAATTGAAAAAAAAAAACAGAGAAGGAAAAAAAAAACTTACGTGGCAACACTCTAGACCAAGAAATAGAGAATCTGAAAGCATCCATTCCCATTTCCTTCATTCTTTGCACATCTTCCTGTAAAACATTTTGAGTAAAATAATTAAATCCATGCATGGTGGTCACATCCACAAAAGCAACTATAAAAGAAAAAGAAAAAAGAAAAACGATAAATTAATTCGTACCTTGTAGCGATGATAGAAATCAACGGCCACATTTGCATTACTATGGTCGGTTATCCTCTCTGCAATTTTTCACAAGTCATTCTTAAATTAATTCCTTTGAATTTGGAGAATAAATCGGTACATATCTGTATTTATAGTTTACCTGCATTTTGTTTCCCCACTCTTAAAGCAATTCTTTACTTTTCTTTTTCTTTTTTTTAACTAAATTTCTTTTCAGTCTGAATTTTAATAGATCCTTTATATTACGTCTAATGAATTTATATAAAAATATGTTCTTAGGATTTTTTCAAGATAACATGGAATGTAGCTTTTATTAAAAAATAATATAAATTATATTTTAGGGTCTCATTTAATAGTTTATTCTTTCAGTTGAGATAATCTTTTAGCATGGTATTAGAGGTTTGCTAACCTAAAGATCAAGAGTATCAATCTTACCATATCCACATTTTCTTCTAATTAATTAAGCATAAGGTAGTGTTAGGTTAAATCATATCTTTAGAATTCACTTAATAGCTTATGCTTCCATGAAGCTAAGCCTCCTAGAGTATTATGTCTTTATATTATATGCACATAACTTTGTCTTAGTTTTGTTATAATCTGAAAATTAATTAAGCATGTATAGTAGCAAACTCCTTCAGTAATAGAGGATGTATACCTGTATGCTCCTCAATGAAAGTGTACCATATGTTGGGGCCTTTACCGTGATAAGGATATACTTACACCTTGTGTGTCCATGCATACCTCTACCTTATTTACGTATCACTACATGGCTCTCACTTCTCATGCATATCCCTTATGTAATGTATTTCTCTACTCTTTGTATAGCTATAACTCTGTCTCTTTAACAATCGTTGTATAGTTATAACTCTACCTCATGACTATCTCTGTAACATATAAATACTGGACCTCAATAATAGCAGTATCATCTTTTTGGATCATAAAAAACTCTTTCATGGTATCAGAGCTTTACGAGATTTAAAAACCCAGCTTGATCCAAAACAACAAAGCTACTGTCTTCATCCCATTTTCACCAGCTTCATCCATGGCCGAACAAAACATTGTCCAACAACCCTTTGTTCCTCACCAAACAATTGTCCCTCATCAAGAACAAGCCCAATCCTCATCTATAACTTATCCTAAACATGACTCATCTATCCATCAAACTGACCTCGGCCACTTACCTCCTTTGGAAAACTCAGCTGCAACCACTATTACTTGGGTACAAACTGGCTCATAACATTGATGGTAGCCTTCCCACTCCTGCAACAACAGACCCATCATATACCGATTGGTATACACAAGATCAAGTTGTTTTAAACTGGATTGTAAGCTCCCTCTCTGTTTTTTGTTACTCACTTGGTAAGGATAAGCTTAGGAAAAGCTTGCAAGAATTTATGCCTCTGGCTCTCGCACACAAGTACAAAAACTACATACAAGTATGATTGAATTAGCACAAAGGAATGATGACATCCCAACATACTTGCAGCGTGCTAAGGAAATCTCAGACAAACTTGCTATGCTGCAGCATCCCATTCCAAAAGAAGACCTAGTAGATTATATCCTATGAGGTCTAGTTCCAGCATACCACCCTTTTATGTGCAACAAAAAAGCCAAACTTACACCAGTATCCTACGATGATCTATTCTCTCTACTGCTCAATGAAGAAGTGCAGCTGACATAATAGGAACATGTTGAACCAGTACCATAAACGGCATAATTTTTTACTCGCGAGTTTAATTCCTCTAGTGCTTGAGGACATTACCTTGGCAGAGGCAGAAGCAATGGATATGGAAGGCAGCAACTTATGTCTCACACCACTGACAGGAGCCATTCCAGTCAATAATAATCTGCCCAACAAATTTGTTTCAATTGCAAAGGCAATGGACACCACGCTGGTCAGTGTCCTTCACCCAAACAAAATAATGACAGATGTAACTTGCACCACTCACCCAAACATGAGTCCAACTTGGCATCCAAACAACCTAACCATAAAGCACCACAATCATGGGTTGTTGACACCGGAGCAACGCATCATTTAACAATCAATATGGAAAACTTAAGCATCCATTTCGAGTACAATGGTTCGGAGGAAGTAACAATTAGCAATGGTAAAACGCATCTTATTACTTGCACTAATTCATTTGTTTTTTTCATTGCTAGCAAACAATTTTCACTTGACAACATTCTCCTTGTTCCATAGGCTTCTAAGAATTTAATGTCAGTGAGTGCCTTTACCAAATCTAACAATGTCTCTCTTGAATTGTTTTCCATTCGTTTTTTGATAAAGGATATCCATACAAAGAAGGTTTTGCACACCGAGAAGCTTAGCGATGGACTTTATTCAATACCAATAGGTCGCTCTATGGGTGACTCACCACAAGCCCTTTTGAGCTCATTATCTACTTGGCATGCTTGTCCGGGTCATACATCATTTAAAATAGTGCAACAAGCACTTCGTCGATCTAGCATCAATATGGCTATTCGAGATTCAACATCTCTTTGTCATGCTTGTAGCCTAGGAAAGATTCATAAGTTACCCTTTCTTAAGTCTTTTTTTCAAGCATCGAGTCCTTTAGATTTAATCTGCTCCGATTTGTGAGGCCCATCTCCTCGTTCCATCCATTAATGGCAATCGTTATTATGTGCTATTCTATGATCATTTTAGCAAATACTCTTGAGTATACTTTATTAAATATAAATCTAAAGTTACCAATTGCTTTATTAAATTTAGACATGTTGAAAATTTTTTTGACCGCTCAATTAAAGCATTTCAAGTTGATTGGGGAGGGAATTCAAAGCCTAGCTAAATATCTATGTGATAATTGCATCACCCATCGTAGCTCGTATCCTAAAACTCTCAAACAAAATGGATGCGGCTGGGCAAAAACATCGCCACATCAATGAAACGAGCCGTGCTTTACTTCACCATGCCTCACTCCCCCATAAATTTTGGGAACATGCCTTTGCTATCGTAGTATATTCCATCAAACGACTCCCCACCCCACGATTAGACCATAAAAGTCCATTTGAGATACTATTCCATTAAAAATTAACTTATGAAATGCTTCGCATTTTTGGGTGTTTATGCTCCCCTAGCTACAACTTACATCATAAATAAATTAAACCCCCGGTCTCATCGATTTATTTTTCTTGGATATAACCTTACATAAAGGATATAATTATTTTGATTTGGTCACCAACAAAATATATATCTCATATTATGTCTTGTTTGATGAACAGGTTTTTCCATATAAAGCAAAAATGGGTGAAACTCCGGTGTCTTCGAAACTTATACTTGTTGTGCCATCGAACCAACCAAGCCTACTCGTCTCCTACGCCTACTATTGTTCCAATCAACACACCAAGCCCATTGCCCCTTCCCCCACTTACTCGCCTATGGCCGCTCTAGCATTCTCTTAGCCGGTCTTACTACCTACACGCCCACCCATCAACCTATTCTTACAACCCAATTGCCAACCCAACCTCCTACCGACTTAGGCCTCATGCTCACAAGCCCAAACCTAAATCACCCAAATACCATCCGAATAAAAACACAAATCCTACAACCCATGAATACCTACCCATTCACTTAGAAATAGATCTCATAAGTTATCCCTCTCTGTCTTAATCCCGTAAAACTAGCAATCCTCTCATCCCATGAACACCGGATCAAAGATCAACCACAGCAAACCTAAAACCCACCATACCCATATCCTATCCGAATCGACAAGCTATAACAATGTTGTCAAAAACCTAGATTGTCATCATACGATGGATGAAGAAATGGCTACCCCGAGATCAAATCAAACCCGGACACTCGGTTCCCCGAGTTCAAGCTTCTAATATTATGGGAAATCACTAGGTTTATCATATCAAAAGGCTACAAAATGGCACCATTAATCAATTTAAGGTGCGTTTTGTTGCTAAAGGCTTTCACTATCGCCTAGGTATTGATTTCATTGATACATTTAGCCCCGTTGTAAAACCCATCATCGTGAGGTTGATATTATATCCGGCGATCTCGAATGGTTAGGCGGTGTAGCAATTCGATGTATCCAATGCTTTCTTATATGGTAATCTGGAGAAACCAGGTATACATGAAGCATCCATAAGGCTATATGGACTTTAATTTTTTGACCTATGTGTGTGCTTTGAAGAAGCCATTATACGACCTCAAACAGGCACCTCGGACTTGGTATCAATGCCTCACCAACGAAATCATTCGACTTGGATTCACAAGCTCTCGATCTAACATGTCCCTATTCATCTACAAAAAGGTCCGGACAACGTCTATTGCTTAATCTATGTGGATGACATCCTTGTTACGGCAACAATGAGAGACTTATTCACCTTTTTAAAACTCAACTTCAACGAGCACTTTGCAATTAAAGACCTAGGCAAGCTATCATACTTTTTAGGCATTAAGGCTCATTAGTGTAAGAGAGGATTGATTTTAACTCGGACCAAATATGTTAAAGACATCCTTCGCAAGGCCAATATGCATGAAGCAAGCTCCATTTCAACACTTGCTTGTGCTTCTACAAAATTGATGAACTTCGGGACAATGTATGTAGAACCTACTGCGTTTCGTAGGATTGTGGGAGGCTCTAATACCTTGCATTAACTCGTCCATACATCTTTTATGTTGTCAACAAGGTGGCCCTGTTCATGCATGCTCCCATAAATAATCACCGGTCCGTTGTCAAGAGGATCTTAAGCTATTTAGGCACCACGACCGATCATGACTTACACTTCGGACCGTAGCAACATTGGTCTTAAATGCATATAGTGATGCGGATTGGGGTGGAGATGTGGATGACGGGAAAAGTACCACCTGGATATGCAATTTACCTTAGTGGAAATCTTGTGTCATGGTACTCAAAGAAGCGAGAGGAAATAGCACGGTCTTCCACGGATGCATTGTATCCTACTTTAGCTACAACGACATCCGAGGTGACTTGGATTCGGTCTCTCTTGAAGGAAATACACATCACCATTCATGTGATGCTTATCATTTGGTGTGACAATATCTCTACCACCTATCTTACTACACATCCCGTCTTCCATGCATGACTCAAACACTTGAAGATCGACTTTCACTTCGTTAGAGACAAGGTGAAAAAGAAGGAGCTAACGATGAGTTTTATTTCCACCAATGATCAAATTACAGATATTCCGATAAAATCGCCGTCCAAACGATAATTTTTCTTATTACGGAATAAGCTAACCTTGCATTCTACTCGCTCGGCGTGAAGAAGGATGATAAGGATATACTTACACTCGTGCATGTCCATGCATACCTTTACCTTATTTACGTATTGCTTGCATGGCTCTCACTTCTCATGCATATCCCTTATGCAATGTATATCTCTCGCTCCTTGTATAGCTATAACTTTGCCTCATGACTATCTCTCGTAACATATAAATACTGGACCTCGATAACGAGTAGTATCATCTTTTTAGATCATAAACAACTCTTTCATCCTACTTCGTTTGTTTCACCTTCACATTGTATACAATAAGATTTGTTAAAACAATTGAAGCATTCTTATCTTCAATCGAGGATATTCGAGTGACATTTGCAATGCCATGTAACTTCACCGACTAGCTAGTCTTATAATTATGATTTTTTTTTTAACAATGTACGCATGGGATGAAGATTAGAAACATGTTTAATTACTTGGTAAGCCGTAAGCGAGATCTAAAAACGAAACCATCCGGAAAGGAATAATGACTCAACTTGCCAATACTTCCCATAATAGTAAGTTTTGGTTAAGCACACTTGAAGAAGGTCAACAATATAAGCTTGGAATTAGTTGTACCACTGCGCAACTTTGGTGACCTTCACCTTAGGGACCTAGCTACTGTTGGGTGAGATCAATGAGGACTCGAATAAAAGAATGTATATTAGCTAACAATGAATACAAGAATAAATGAGTGTATGAAGTGGTTTCGATGAATTATATATATATATATAACCAAATAAAACCTAAAAATTTTTTAACTAATTATTATTTTAAAAAAAATTGATCCACTTAAATAAGACTTAGAGTATATAAAATAAATTAAAAAATATATAAAGAAAACTCTCTTAAATTGCATGGAATATATCGAAGTGAATAGATTTAAATAAAAATTATTATAAAATTGGTTTTGATAATTTCTTATATATATATATATATATATTAAAAAATATATATATAAAAAAACTCAATTGAATTGGATGAAATATATTGAAGTGAATAGATTTAAATAAAAATTACTATAAAATTGGTTTTGATAAATTTTGATTATATATATATATATATATATATATATATATATAACCAAATAAAACCTATGAATTTTTTAACTAATTATTAATTTTAAAAAAAAAACCAAGCCAAATTATTTTTTTAACTGATTATTATTATTTAAAAAAATTAAGCCAAATTATCTAAAACATACTTTTAGCTCTCCCTTTCTCATCAAAATTTATATATGCAACAATGTCATTTTTATTGAAAAATCATAAAAATAATAAACCGTATAAATTATAACAATAAATTTTTTTTAAAAAATAAAGCAATCATGTTCTAAAATTTTATTTCAAAAGCCATGTATAAAAAAATCAAATTTATTAGCAAATAAAATTATATAAAATTTAAAAATTAATTCGATGAGAATTTTAATAAGAAAAAAATAATTGAATAAATAAATTTTAAATAATAAAAATAAAATAATAAGATATATATGTTCAAACAAAAATATTAAAAAACTTTATATATATTCTATTATCGTCAAACAAGTATATAAATAAATAAATAATAGCGATCTTTTTTTATATTTTCATACCTAATTTCATAATAAAAAATATAAAAATAAATTACTTATATAGAAGGAGAAAAATTGTCATCTGATATTTAAATAAATTATTTATTAATAAATATTATATTATTATACCAATATATTTAAAATAATATTTAACTAATAATAATGGAATATTAATTTAATTATATGGTATAATTACCAAATATATTATATTAATAAAATACTTATCAATTTTTATATATATTCAAATTCATAAAATAATATATCAATATATTATTTATATCATAATTTAAAATAATAATAAAATATTATATTGTATAATAAATACAATACTCACAATCAAAATACAAATAACTATTTTATAATAATTATTTGACACTTTTTGTAAAATATAATGATAATATATTATAATTATTAACTATAAATAATTTTATTATTTATATATATATATATATATATATATATATAAAATAAATAAGGACCTAAATAATATATTTGACCATGAAATAATAGTCCTACAAATATAGAAACTAAAAAAAAAAAAAAAAAAAGAGAAATGCTACAATGAAGTTCCAGCAACCCAACTCAAAACGAGGAAAACAAAATGACGTTAGACATGTAAAAAGAAAAAATGGAGAGACTGGGGTGGGACTACTACCGTAATAACCCAAAATTTCCTTATTTTTATTTTTATTTTTATTTTTTATTTTTTTATTTTTATTTATGTTTATTTTATTTTTAATTTTTGTTTTTAAATTCAAAGTTTACTATAAAAAAAAAAAAAAAAAAAAAAAGAAAAAAAAAGAAAGAAAATGATGAAAAACATTAAAAAAATTCATTTAGCGACACAATTGAAGTAATTAGGGGTGTAATCGAGTCGGTTAAAAAGTTTAGGCCTTAAATTACACCTCTAGGGACCTAATTGATTAGATTGTACTGAAATTATTTCACAGAGAGGCATAATTGCTGAAATTGAAACGCGAGGACCAAATCGGAAGTTTGGAGCGAAAGATAGGACCGAAATGGAGAACATGACCTATCGTTAGCTCCAAGGCAAATTCTCTCCGAAAATCTTTAGGAGAGTCCGCCCAAATTCTCCATGAATTTCTTGTTTTTGATTGTGTATTAATCGTGGATTTTGTTGCCAAAACCAACACTAACTAGAAACAATGAAAATTTTCTATTTTGATTTCACATTAATCATGAATTAAAAGGGAAAACTTTTGACTGAAAATTCAGGGATTTGAGGTTCGATTCTCGGAGAAATTTTAGGAAATTTTATGCTATAAAACGTTAGGAATTTCACGAGAAAAAAATGGGGAAATTGAGCGTGAAATTCGGTTAAAAGAGAGTAAAAATCGAAAGCAAAAGAGTTGATTTTTTTTTATTTTTAGCCACTACGTTTCGGGTTTTTCCGGGTTGTTGTTCTTGGTGTTCTTGGTATTCGGGTTTAGCTCATCACTAATCGGTTTCTTTTAATCCTTTTTGGTGTTCTTTTTGAAGTCGATTTTCTCTCCTCGAGTGTTCCTCAATCCAATTTCTGAATTAGAGACCTCATTTCTTCATAATTTTGGGTTTCCCTATTTGAAATTCAGGCGACCACTTGAACTTCTTCATACACTCAGGTTCGTGTTCTTCAATCTTCGGGTAGAGTTCCTTTGGCTTCAATTAATGGATCCGATCCTTTGTTGTGAATCTCATTCGGGCATATCAAAAGCAACATGCGTCTTTTTTTATTCTTTTGAAACTAATTTTGGGTTTCAATTTGCATCCTTTCGGGGTATCAATCACAAAATATAAGGTCTCGCTCTTGTTTTTTATTTTTTTATTTTTCTTTCTTGTTCTCGATTCAACAATTTGTGATTTCTAAATATTTGGTTAGTTGTTTGTTCGAGTTTTAATGCTGGATTTGTGATCGAAACACGAGTGTAATAATATATGTTAGCAATTATTTGTCCAAATTGGGACTTTAATTTTGTGAAAAATCTAGAAAGAAAGAGAGAGAAAGCGATGAACATGAAGAACAAGAGAGAGAGTTGCTAGGGAGCCGTGTTTGATCGACTTTCTTTAGAATTTTAGCTTTCGGACCTGTTTGTGGGCTTGAGCCTAGTCGGGGCATTAAGAGAATGGGGGTTGGACTTCCTTTTAGCCCACCAACCCGAGGCGAGCAAAAAAAGAAAAAGAAAAAGGGGCTAAGCTGAAATCACCCTTTCTTCCAAAAAAAAAAAAAAAGAGTAAAAGTGGTTGGTTAATATTTTAGGTACGGAATTTTTTTTATATCATTTTATTACTTTTATTGTTCAATTATTTTTTTATCTCGTTTATATGGGATGATTTTTTTATTTTTTATTTTCTTATTTATTTAATTTTTTTATAGCTCGTTTATTTTTATTTCTTGTTGCTTTTAGGTATTAATTTAGATTTGTTATTTTAAATTTGTTATTTTCTTTTCTTTAACATGCGATGCTAAAAAAAAAAAAATCTTGACGAAGTCTCCTATCCGATAGGGACCGACGTCATAAAAAAAATGCCTAAAAATTTTGACAAAGTCTCCTACATGGTAAGGATCGACGTCATCAAAAAAAATAAATAAATAAATTCAACAAAGTCTCCTACTAATAGGGACCGACGTCACCAAATTCAAATTTTTCGACGAAGCCTCCTATCCGATAGAGGCCGACGTCACTAAAAATCACCTTTTAATTAAGACGTCCTCCGACACGTCGGTTGTGTCAAGGCTTTTAGTGGATCCGATGTTTGAATCAACGTGTCACCCAACGAAGGGGACCGACAATCGTTTCAATATGATGCCACGCCCAAAACAAAAAAATTCACTTAGTCTAAAAGAAAATAGGAGATTAAAATTTAGAAAAAATAGCTTGACATGGATTTTAGGAGATAAATCAGAACTAAACCGTACATGGTACCTTTTTTTGAAAATGGCGCTTTTAGGTGATTAAATATCTTCCTAAAAACGTAACTAACTCATTACCTTAGAAATCTCTTAACCGAGTGCTACTTTTAGGTTCCTAGTTTCTTAAATACTAGGTGGCGACTCCAAAACTTTATAAATAATTAACACCTAGACCTTTAATTTTCTTTTGGGGGGTCCCGTTCGACGTCGTGTAGCGACAACTACGATAAATGAACAGTTCCACCCCTAGTATATATATATATATATATATAAATGAAAAAGAGAGTGCAGGCGGGAGGCTGCTAGGGAAGACCGCTCTTGGGCTTGCATAGCGCGTCGAGCACTCAATCAAAAATATAATACAATAAATGAATAGTAAAAATCTCGAGTTCTTTTAGTTTTTTTTACAATGTAATAGTGCTAAAAAACACTTTAGCTTTCGAGTATATATTATTTTTTTAGATACCGCATGAATAATTGTACGTAGTATATTTTATGTAAGATGATTCGTATTAGTGTTAAAAGTCAACAAAGTCCACATTACGACCATAATCGAAGCCCATCTTTAGCATGCTTAGGGATCATTCTAATAATGGTCTTGGTGGTGTTGTTAATGGGGTTTTGAATTCGAGATTTGATGGGTTTAGAAAGATGGGTCGAGTAGAGGCATATGGGAAGATGACAATGATTAGTGATGAGGATGGAGGTGCTTTTGATGATAAGGAATAGAAAGAAAAAAAGAAAAAGAAAAAGGGTGTTGTTTTTGGAAGGCATGTGAGAAATGCAATGAAGGCGAGGTTATCATTTGGGAATTCTTATTGCTCCTCTTGACGAAGAATCAAAAGTTTGAGTTTCCTTGCTATGGGCAATTCTATAATTTTAAAAGGTAGGGGCGGTTTGTCATTTCAAGCAATATGGGAAATTTCATTTTTTCTACCAAGAAGGATGTTTTGGTCATTTTCAGCGACAATCCAAAGATGCATTTTGGTCATTTTAGCAACCGAGTAGGTTCATTTATTATTCTTCTTTTAATTATTTTATTGTGCTATTTTTGTAATAATTTTTAGTTTCATGTGTGGTAAAAAACCTAAAAATATGTAGAATGTGAAATTTATTTTAACGTATAGATATGATTCGGTCGTGATGTCGAACCAATGAGTTTACTATTCATTTGGAATGGATGATGGATTCGACATATTTCACCCAACAATAACAATGAAAGAAAATAATAACAATAACAAAGAATCAATTCGGATCAATTTTGTTTAATATTTTGCATAAAATTTTTTAGTTAATTAGGTTGTTTCTCGACATGTCAATTTTGTCAAGATTTTAATTTACATCAAATGCTAAATTAACGAGACTCTTAAATCTCAAAGATCGATGTTAATTTAATATGATGCTACAAAAACAAAAAAATGATATAAAATGATTTTTGGTAATTTTCTTGCATGTCTCAAAAAATAAAACTCCTTTGTTTAATTCAGAATAGGAAAAAAAAAGAGTTTAAGCAAATTTAACAAGTCTTATATTCTATAGGGATGGACGTTATTAATTATTTTAAATCAATTATGTTTTAGTAATTAAGTCGTTCTCCGACATACAAGTTACGTCGAGACATAAAGTGGATCCAATATTGAACCGACGTGTTTTTCGACGAAAGAGATCGATAATTTGTTCAATAAAATACCTCAAAATAATAATAATAATAAATCACCTAGGAAATAAAAATTTGGAGTTCGAATTGAGAATAATTTGACATAAATAAAAGCACCTTAGAAGATTAATTTTAGAACTAAACTAGATATGGTATCTTTCTTAGGAAAAGATATTTTTGGATGATCGATATCTTCTTAAAAGTGAATCAACTCTTTACTCTAGGATTTTTATACTCGGTGCCCATTTTAGATTTTTAGTTTCTTCAATATTAAGTGATAGCTTCTAAAATCAATAATAATTCATATTCCTATAATAAATCATAAATAATTTAAAATAAAATATTTTTATTAATTTTTAGAAGTCCTGTCAGAAGTCTGGCAGCGACAACACCAATCAAAAAAGGTCAACTGAAATTTCATGGCTGACAAAGAAATGAAGGCTGGAACCTGATATATAATGATTTGAAGGTTTTCAATATGATTTCGCACCACTTCAAGGGCTAACAATATCCATTTTCCAGTTAATTGGTGGTTCAGACATAATTTATTTATTTATTATTATTATTATTATTATTTTTTTTTGAAGAAAAAAAAATAGAGAGGAATCCACACCAAAATTGAGAAGCTAACAAAATCAGATCTCTTCGAAGAATTTAAAATCCCTTCTCTTTTAAGAATCAGTAGATGCAGAAGCGAAATCCCAAACCCTTTGTTGGCATCCTACTTGTTCCGGACATCTCTAGATCTTTGTCTTTGGTTTCACATAATTTCAACTAGGAAACATCTATTGTTGTAATTAAAATACTGTTGATTTGTAATTTTTTTTTTAATTGTGCTCCTGAATTTATATTATACAATTTTATTGTTTTTTTATTTTTTATTTTTTTATAATTACTCGATATAAATAATAAATAGTGTTAGAACCTGGATTTGCTATTTTTATATATATATAAATGCGCTTCTAAATTTATATCTTAAATTAATTTTTACATAACAAAATTTTGGTGCAAATTTAAGACTTTGTTGACTTTTAACATTAATACGCATCATCTTACATAAAATATACTGCTGACAATTATTCCTGTGGTATCTAAGAAAATAATATATACTGCAAGCAAAAGTGCTTTTGCACTATTACATATGCTACTATTTCTCGTTGAAACATGTATGCCATCTTTGTTACTATTTGTAGACAACGTGCGATTGTCCTGTCTCCGAATCAATACTGTTTGTTTTCAAGTATTCGAGATAATAACTCATGGAAAAATAGATATAGCATGTTTCTTGTGGCACAATAGCTCTTCTTTGTACGAATTAGAGATGGTTTAGATGAAGGTTGAAGAATTAAAGACCATCTGAGTCACAAGACGATCGATGTATATTGTGTTTGACTGGACTAAATCAGCAAAAGAATTGAGAACTTTGTTACGCAAATTTCCGATACATCCTAGCCAGGTGTTGCTACGGTCTTACCTCACATTTGGTTCCATGTATTTGTTGGCTAGAAATGATACTTCATTTTTCTTCCTTCCTTTTTTTTTTTTTTTTTTGATAAATCGAAAGGTTGAAATAAGGGAAGCAAAAGGAAATATATCTGAATGCTACAGGTCAACATAAATTACCATTCTTTCTGATATTCTTGGGCTGGAAACTTGTCAAGTTTTGCTTTGTTTCATTGCCATCAGATAATATAAATAATGTGGTTGAATATTCTTATATATATATATATTGACTCCAGCTGTTTCTGAATTTTATCTTCTTCAAGTAAAATTACTAAACCTCGCCAGACAATTACAGCACGAAATCTTCTAACATTTGGTGTTTCTTTTATCGCCCCAAACTCCTCACATGACAAATTCCTATCCAATTAGCTAGGAAGTTTCATAAAACTACACGTTTTAAATTGAATTTTCGTTGATCAATGTAAAGGAAAAAAACAAAAAAGTAATTGAATTTGACCAGCTTCGAAGTACGGAACTTTAGGATGCCTATAAATAGGCCGCAGCATGTTGATGTTTTTTAATCCAATTGATTCATCAGATTCAACCTGTAACAAAATCTATACTTCATACATTCATTTAGTCTTGTATTCATTGTTAGCTAATATACATTCTTTTATTCAGTCCTTATTGATTTCACCCAACAGTAGCTAGGTCCCTAAGGTGAAGGTCACCAAAGTTGGCAGAGTGGTACAACTAATTCCAAGCTTATATTGCTGATCTTCTTCAAGTCTGCTTAACCAAAATTTACTATTATGGGAAGTATTGGCAAGTTGAGTCGTTATTCCTTTCCAGATGGTTTCGTTTTTGGGTCTGCTTCAGCGGCTTACCAGGTAATTAAACATGTCTCTAATCTTCATCCCATGCGTACATTGTTAAAAAAAATCTTAATTATAAGACTAGCTAGCTGGTGAAGTTACATGGCATTGCAAATGTCACTCGAATATCCTTGATTGAAGATAGGAATGCTTCAATTGTTTTGACAAATCTTATTGTATACAGTGTGAAGGTGAAACAAACAGAAGTGGTAAAGGGCCCAACATATGGGACACTTTCATTGAGGAGCATACAGGTATATATATCTCCCTCTATTAGTGAAGAAGTTTGCTACCATACATGCTTAATTAATTTCCCAATTAAAACAAAACTAAGACAAAGTTATGTGCATATAATACAAAGACATAATACTCTCGAAGGCTTAGCTTCGTGGAAGCTTAAGCTATTAGGTGAATCCTAAAATAATGATTTAATCCCACATTACTTTATGCTTAATTAATTATAAGAAAAAATAAAGGTGATAAGATTGATATTCTTGACCTTTAGGTTAGTAAACCTCTAATTTCATGTTAAAAGATTATCTCAATCGAAAGAATAAACTATTAAATGAGACTCTAAAATATAATTTATATTATTTTTTAATAAAAGCTACATTCCCATGTTATCTTTTAAAAAAAACAACTTGAGAACATATTTTTATATAAATTCATCGGACCTAATATAAATGATCTATTTAAATTCAGACTGAAAAGAAAGTTAGTTAAAAAAAAAAAAAAAGGTAAAGAATTGGTTTAAGAGTGGGGAAACAAAATGCATGTAAACTATAAATACAAATACGTATCGATTTATTCTCCAAATTCAAAGGAATTAATTTAAGAATGACTTGTGAAAAATTGCAGAGAGGATAACCGACCATAGTAATGCAAATGTGGCCGTTGATTTCTATCATCGCTATAAGGTACGAATTAATTTATCGTTTTCTGTTTTTCTTTCTTTTATAGTTGCTTTTGTGGATGTGACCACCATGCATGGATTTAATTATTTTACTCAAAATGTTTTACAGGAAGATGTGCAAAGAATGAAGGAAATGGGAATGGATGCTTTCAGATTCTCTATTTCTTGGTCTAGAGTGTTGCCACGTAAGCATTTTTTTTCCTTCTCTTTTCTATTTTTTTTTTTTAAATTCTTCTTCCTTACTTAATATTTTTTTTCAACTATTCAATTCAGATGGTAGACTAAGTGCAGGAACAAACGAAGAAGGGATCCAATTTTACAACAATCTCATCGATGAGCTCATAAAAAATGGTTATAACCTCTCCCTTTCCTTCAATGACGAGTTTAATTGATAATATTGTTATTTTGACAAAATTAAATTTTTTTATTGTTCTTTTAAATATAGCAATTGTAAAACCATAGTCATTTTATGGGTAAGGTCTACCTTGTGCTTAACTTTTTAATTTAAATAAGAAAGAGTAAAAAATATAAAATTCAAACTTATACCATTTTAACATTTAAACAGTTGGATGAAATTTTATAATATAATTTACATTATTTTTTAATAGTTAGTAAATAAAATAATATTTTTATTAACTAACTTTTTCATTTAAATAAGAAGAAAAAATAAAAATGGTAGAATTTGAACTTGTGGACATTTGAACATTTAAATAGTTGGATTAAATTTCAGAATATAATTTACATTATTCTTTAATACTTAGTAAATGAAGTAATATTTTGCTTAACTTTTAATGTCTACATTTTCCAAATTTCATATATTTGGTGATTAGAAAAATATGAATTTGACGCTTAAATCTTTTAATAACGCACATTAATTGAGATAAAATATAGTTACAAAAGTTTGACATTTTAGTTTTAATTATCTATTTATTTTACCTTTGAAATGTAATGTGCAGGTATACAGCCCTATGTAACCCTCTTTCATTGGGACACTCCACAAGCACTTGAAGATAAATATGGTGGTCTTTTAAGCCCTAACATTTTGTAAGTAACCGTCTTAATATTAATTGATATTCTATAAACAATATCTCATGATTTTTTAATTTCTATACATTATATAACTTTCAGAAGACTTCAGAAGCAAATTACAGTAAAAATATCCCCACAACACGTGAATCTAACAGTTTCAATTTTCATATAGAAATGATTTCCGAGACTTTGTGGATCTTTGCTTCCAAAAATTTGGAGACCGAGTGAAGAATTGGATCACTTTAAATGAGCCTTTTATTTTCAGCGTCAATGGTTATGACACGGGCACAATTGCACCTGGTAGAATTTCAACTCTGGAGAACTCATGTCCAGGCCAACCCAAAATCTCAGGTGCCACCGAGGTTTACAAAGTGACCCATCATCTATTGCTTGCTCATGCAACAGCTGTGAAAGTATACAAGGAAAAATATCAGGTTTGCAAAAGCTTAAAACTGTAATTTTTTTTAATGTAATTATTGGGTTGGTTTACAATCGTTTTTCACCCAAGTCGTAAATGCAGTTGTCTTAATTAATTTTTACGTTGACAAAATCATTAGGCATGTCAAGGAGGACAAATTGGAATAACTCTCGTTTCTCATTGGTTTGAACCTTACTCAAACAGTGAAGGTGATCAGAATGCAGTTAAACGAAGCCTTGATTTTATGCTTGGATGGTAAGTATTCTGTATGAAGGAAGACAGTAATGGAAAGTCAACTTGGGATAAACCATGATCATTCTAATTCATTAATCCTTGCATGTTTTTGGCAGGTACATGAGTCCTTTAACTAAAGGTGACTATCCGCAGAACATGCATGACTATGTTGGAGGAAGATTGCCTAAATTCAGTGAAGAGGAATCTAAGATGCTGATAGGATCTTATGACTTCATTGGAATCAATTACTATACTACATATTACGCTCGGAATGTTGAGGATGTTAATTATAAAGATATTGGCTTTATGGAAGATGCTCGTCTCACTTGGCCAGGTAAATTTATAAAATTCTAAAATGCTTGATAATTACATAAAAAGAAATTAACAAAATTTTAAGAAAAATAAAAGTTCTAATTTTTTGCTATAATGTTGAAAAAAATAACTTTATTTTATTTTGCTATTTTGCAGGGGAGAGAAACGGAATACCAATTGGTCCACAGGTGAGTGTGATTCTTAATTAGAGATAGTTCTGGTTTCAACAAATTGCTTTTTTTTTTTTTTTTTTTTTGGGTGTTTAGCAAATTGCATAATTGATATATAGAATTTAATATATTTTTTCCCTTAATATTGAGATTTATGGAAATAAAATTTGCAGACAAACGCAAGCTGGCTATATATTCATCCTGAAGGTATTCGCCACCTATTGAATTATATAAAGGACGAGTATGGAAATCCAACAATATATATAACTGAAAATGGTAAGGTCAAAGTTAACAATATATCATATTCATAATAATATTTCTATACGTTTGAGGTTTTAGTTGTTAATAGATTCTGATTTTTCAATTTCTTGATATATATTTATATATATAGGAGTTGATGACGTGAATTCCTCATCATTGGAGGAAGCCCTCAATGATCCCATAAGAGAGAAATCTTTCAAAGACATTTTTCACAATGTTCTCAAATCCATCAAGTGAGTTTGACCTTTCCAGAATTTATGGTCTTTAGGTCATTACGTCTTGTAAAACAACTAGTTTTTACGAAATGCAAGGATTCAATTTCTTTCTCTATATAGTAAAAATTATATTATTAAATTTTCAACCCCAATTGATAAGAAACTGATTTTTGCAGTAACCATGGTGTTGATGTTAGAGGATTTTTTGCTTGGTCATTTTCGGATGATTTTGAATGGGGATCTGGTTATACTTCCAGATTTGGGTTCTATTACATTGATTACGAAAACGGCTTGAAACGATATGCAAAAAATTCTGTGAAGTGGGTTACACAATTCTTGAAGAAGGACAAAAATATACACAAGGATTATATGTAGGACTTCTTTCTTTCTCTATTTTGATTTCATCTTGATATCAAAAATAATCTCTCAACGTGGAATCTCATGTCTCGCTCATTTGATTTCCATTACAGAACATCAAATATTTCATCAAATCCTCGAATGGAAAGTGGATCAGTTGGCAGTCGTAAGAAACCAAGAACTGAATAAAGATTATTGGTATTGAATTTAATAAAGGTATTGCATTCCTCTACTTCTAATTTTATTTTGGTTTCTTTCTTTGTATTATTATTATTTAATTCTCATGCATTACAAACTTATATATTAAAAATGCAGGAAACCATAGACGGAATAGCTATATATAAATAAAAGGATAGTTGTCTATTACTACCTTCAAGACCCAATTGGAACCAGGTGGATTTATATGGGAATAGCAGCAAAAAGGCTGAAGTCAAACTTAGCAGAACCATGTTGGATTTTTGTGGCTGATTGATTCTAACCTTTGTTGGCATCGCATATATTTCTCTGGACATTCGTGGATCTTTTTCTTTGATTTCGCATATTTTCAACTAGCAAATTTCTATTGTTGTACTTATAATAACATTGATTTGTATTGTTTTATTGTCCTTCTAAATTTATATTTTAGGATTATATTTTTCTTTATGTTTTATTCAACTGTTATTATTATTATTATTATTTGATAATTACTTGATACAATTTTAAACCCTATGTTTGCACAGTTTGATTATTGTTAGTAACATTTTTAAAAATTACTTTTATCACACTCCATTGGAGTGCCTTGCTGGAAAACTCAAATCACCTCTCAAATTCCAAAACACAATCTTAGGCAATTTTGTTTACCTTTCTTTATCCTGTAACTCTCACATGCCCCCAATAGTTAGTAGATGCCTATTGAAATCCGAAATCACCAAAAACCAATATCTTTCACAGCATCTTCTCTTGGCTTATATTTTCCGCTATAAAAAATCTCAATAATTGAATTGATTTTAAAATGAGCTAACGTTCTAAAGAAAGTTTGGCCTATTTAACCCAGTTTGCTTAGCTTTTTGTGTATATGAGTGGTCAATAAAAATATAAGTACATAATGAAAGTGAGTCCAACGAGTGAAAGCTATCATGTAATAACAACTCTTCCGTGAACTCTTTTCGCAAAGCATACCCAGAGCAATTACCACCTCTTCTTTTATTGTGTTAGGGTTGAATGAAGGGGTTTAGGCAAGACTAAAATCTCATGATGATAGAGAACTTACATGAAAAAATTTCAAAGATAAAATAAATGGCAAAGGTCGTGCATGTTGCAAATATGCCTTAGCAGTTACTGATTGTACAGAAGTTGCTGATTAGGCAAGTTGAGGTGGCTGCACATGTTTGTAATTTAAAGTTTTGACCTATTCTTATGGTTTTTGTTATGTATTTTCTTTAGTTGCTAAAAAATAATCGTTCATGGCTTAGATCATATTCTATATCATGTCATCATGTTTCATTCATTGGTTAAATCATGTAATCATGGTCAGTTTTTTTTTGCTTTTTTAGTTACAATTTTTTGTATTTAAACACATTTTGATTCAATAAAAATATATAAGTTAGCAGCCAATAAAAATATTCCTTAAATATGAAAAATTATTTTAACTATTCTAAATATTTCTTTGAGTTCCTAGTAATTGTTTCTCATCCTCAAAATATTTTTCACATGGGTTTAATATTAAATTTTATTAAATTTCTATTTTAGCGGATACTAGCCATTACATGAAGAGAGGAAGGAAAGAATGTGAATATAGGAGGGAGAAAGAGAATATGTATGAAGTCTTTAGAAAAGAAAAGGATGGGAAGAGATAAGGTATACATTTAGCAAACTCGATTGGACATTGCGGTTAGAGATTACACTTTTATGAGATTACACTTTTAAGGGAAATTACCAAGAAGCATCCTTAAGCAAAACATATAAAGGAGATAGAACTTTAATTTCTTCACACTCATTTGTTTTAGTTAAGGTTTAAAAAACCAACCAAATCATAAAGTATTATAAAAAATCCAATGAACGAGAAAATAGGCTTCGTCCATAGTCTTATAAGGTCTTAATCCACGGTAGAAAGAACAGGAAACGTGTACACTACGGTTGAGAGTTTTTTTTATATATATATAATTCTTTTATACCATTATTACCTTTGTTTCTTCTTACTAACCCCTATAACTATCTATCTAGACCTTTCTTTTTTTTCTTCCAAATCTCTCTCGTATCTCTTAAGTTATTCTTAAAAACCTACTATGACATAAGAGTCGACATATATCATAAGAGATATAAGGTCAAAGATTTAAAAGGCTTGGATATATGTGAGCATGTCACTCATTTACTTTATGGTGTCCGGCATAGGGTTAAGTCCGAAAGAATTAGTATTTTGATATATTTCTATAGTTGGGATACAAGGGTATACATAGGAGTTTTCATATATTTGAACTGTACGGATAGAGTCTTAAAAGTTATCTATCTTTGTGTAAATTCTAATTTAAATTTAGATTTGAATTCAAGTTTTGAATACTCTAATACTTATCACTCCTTCTCAAGTTGATAGAAGACAAAAGGACTATCAACTTGTGCCTAAAATGGTGGAACTTCGTTTGGATGTTGGCTTTATTAGGATGTTCGTAATTTGATCATTGGTAGAGATGCAAGAAACTTGAAGTTCTTTGGCAACCACTTTGTCACAAACGAAATGGAAATCAATTTTCAAATGCTTGAAACGAGAGTGAAAAGTAAGATTAGTAGTGAGATCGATTACACGGATGTTGTCACATCATAAAATTGGAGCATGTGGTAATATAAACCCCAATTCCTAAAGAAGTGAGAAAATCCATTGGACTTTAGTGGATGTTGTAGCAAGTGCTCTATATCTAGCTTCGTAGATGATCTTTTGGAGCTAATATAAATAACAAAACCAATTGTTGATTTTTTGTTATCGAGATAACCACCCCGAGTAAGCATCATTGTAAGTTGAAATATAATAGGATGGATTTATGTGAAACACAAAACCATAAGTGGATGTGTCTTGAGGTAACAAATAATGTATTTAATAACCTTCTAATGATCATCCATAGGAGTATGCATGTATTGAGAGACCTAAATGACATTGAAGGCTATGTTTGGTCTTATGATACAAAGATATTGAAAGGTACCTATAGTGCTTCCGTAAAGATGAGGATCTAAAAATTTGGACCTTATATCCTGTACTTAATGGCCAAACAAGCTAGTGTGGATATAGGATTGGACTGGTCCATTTTGCTACTAGTTAGGAGATCTTTCACATATTTTTATTGATAGAGAAATATCCCTGTTGATGTCCAAGATACCTTTATGCCTAAAAAATAATAAAGTGGCATAAGATCTTTTAAATCAAATATAGTTTGAAGTTTGTTGATGATGGTAGCTAAGAGAGTTAGATCATTACCAATAAGGATAAGATCATCAACATGGATAAGGCAATACAAATTAATTAGGCCAGGTTTATAAATATAGAGAGCAATCGGTTTTAGAACCTATAAAGTTGAAGGCGAGTAAAAGCTTCGATAAGGCATTGAAACCATATACATGGATCTTGCTTTAAACCATAAAGTGATTTCCAAAGCTTGCAAACATGCCTCGTTTTTAGACTCATCATGCAAGCCTAATGGTTGCTCCATGTAAACAAGTTTGTCTAAGGTGTCATGGAAGAAGGCATTGGATATATCCAATTATCGAATAAACCAACCAAATGAGATTGCCAAAAAGAGAACCAAATGAATGGAGGCTGATTTGATTACTAGATTGAAAGTTTCAACATAATCCATACTAGGACCTTGATGAAATCCCTTTGGCTATTAGCCAAGATTTATGACAATCTAAGCTACCATCGGTATTTTCCTTCATACAAAAAACCCATTTACATCCTATAATATTTATAGCTTCATGATTGAGAACAAGCTTCCATATCTCATTGCGTATTAACGCATTGAATTCATCTTGTATTACACGACACCAAGGTTCATCATTGATTGCTTGAGTATGATAAATGGGAACAAGATACAAGGTAAGATTCATGGGTTGTTTGGGTTTTAGCTTTCCAATAATGGCTCTTATAGTCATAAAAAGGGTTTTGTGAGGAGGTTGAATAGAGGAATTGATAGTGGTTGGTTATAAATTATATCGAGAGAAATCAATTATAAAAGGAACTGGTGGATTCTTTTAGGTGAACTAATTTTTGGTGAGTGGCTTGTGTACTTGGATAGGAATTGTTGTTGAGAAAGATGTGATAAAAAAATGAAATAATAGGGTGGGGGTATGTTTGATCTACTCGAATGAAAATAATTGGGTTAATTTGGTATTATTGATAAGTTTGTAAGGTGGATGGATTTGGGCTTGAAGTGGACTGTAGTTGGATTGTTGGACTGGAATGGTTGGAATGGGCGGTAGTAAGTTATAGGCTAAAGTGATTGGTTGTTAGGAGTTTTGGGTTAGTAGGCTACTGTGGATAATTTTAGAAAGATGGCGTATGTGGACATGAGATGGGTTGTTATTGAGATGGAGGACAAGAATGACGGGAATGGATTAGATTAGGCTATTGGTTGAAGTAGGTGTAGGTTGGTGAATGCAAGTCTAATATGGGCATTATGGTAGTAGGTAATAAGTGTGATA